TAAAGTGAAGAATGGAGATTGTGTCACACCCAAGACAAACAGAAAATAAACGGTCAGTAGATCCACTCTGCAGATGTTTGGCACCGAGTGAAGACAGATTAAAGATGCATGGAGGATGCTGAAGTCAACCAAGGCTCCACCAGCAGCAGCTGGAGAGCAGGTGGACAGAAGCCCAAGCCAGAAAGCCCTTTGCAGCTGAAGGGGAGCCAGTCCCAGAGACCACTGTATCCTTCACTGGCTCCAGGCAAGCTGAACCCATGCCCCATACTGGCACCTGCATGAATGGGATAGAAGCAGAGAAAGGACATTGTCCTTCCTGGACAAGGCTGGGTCCCGCATCTGTACAGACTATCTCCTGAAAGAGGGGCCTAGAGTCTCCCAGTACTAGATGGAGTAAGTTCATGTGGCCTCCAGACACACTGCCTGTTTGTCGGTTGTTCAATGGCTTGCCACCCTGCCCATTTCAGTGACTCTGCAGGAACTCAGTCTTCTTTCTTCTTGCATCTCTGACCTTGTCCCGTCCCAGTGTGAGGGGTTGGAGAACACAGTGCACAGAGTAGCATATCCCTCATTTACTCATAGGTTATTCTGTGTGCCAGGCACTGAGTGAGGCTCCTGGGCAGGGGGTATCACAAAATGACTTTTCCTACCCTATAGTTTTTAACAATTTGGGATAAAGAAAACTAGTGTCTTTTGAGTGTCCATTCTATAATAAGCACTCTGCCCAGTACCTTCAAATGACCTACCTTATGTAATTCTTCAGAGGAACCCCTGATCTGTAGAAATTCTTCCCTTACTGTGCTTAGAGAGAAATCTGGTGCTTTTTTTATAGTCATAAAACTAGGAAAAGGATGATTTGGTATTCAATCCCAAGTTCACCAGATTCCAAGTCCTATGCTTTTTCCCTGACACTACAAACCACCCCAACGTGAAGGAGAATTTGACAACTGCCAAGAAAATCATGTGTTCTTAAAGATACAGGAAAGTATATTCTCCCGTCTCACATTCACCCCCACTCCCTGCAACCTTAATTAGAACCAAACTTCATCTTTCTGTTCTGTGCACCAGCAGGGAGGAGCCAGCATCCTGTGCCCAGTCAGGGCCAAGTGCCTGCAGGTGTCTGAGGAATGCTAATGGCCATGGACTGGGGGAGGGTATGCTCAGGCTCTTCCATAGCATTTGCTTCCCATTAAGGCTTCTCCCCTTCCTCTCTAGACCTTCCCGCCCCCTCTAGCAACATGCAGCTTTCATGAGCCAATTACCATGCCCAGGTTTTTCTGTTCCTCTGAAGCCACTGACACTGCTAACAAGACACAGATGCAATGGGGCATGCCCCTGCTGTCCACTTCAGAGCAGGAGCTTTCTTTACTCGGAAGGACCATAGGTAGGAAGAAGCAAGTTTGGATAGTGCAATTGTAACTCAGCCCCCAGAAGGAGGGGGAGATCTCAAAAGGGCAATTCAAGTGGCCTCAAGGGTGATTAGGGTTAGATTGAGTGCTCTTTGTAGGATCAGCTTCTGACTTGCACTTTGCCGGTCATGGACAGGGCGGCGATCCAAATAAGAAGATCTAAGCTGGGGCTGGGGTTGTGGCTCAGTGGTAGAGCCCTTGCCTAGGATGGGTGAGGCCCTGGGTTTTCTATGAACTTTTCCAGATATTCCTGGACAAAATTAACTTCTCCTTTCTCTTTAATCCCTTAACATACTGGTTGTATTTCTTTGAGTATAGTTTCACAATAGTATATCTCATTGCAGATTTATTCTTAAGCATCCTTCTCAGAACTTACAATATTTCTTTAATGTCTGAGGAACAATGACTCCCATCAACACTGGAAAATTGAATATTACTATTCCCATGTTCTCTTTATTCTTTTCTGCACTCTACATAAAGATAATTTTGGTCATTCTTGTTCTATTCTCAATTCTCCTCTTTCATATTCTCTCTCCTGACCTTTCTGTGCTGCATTGGAGTAATTTCCTCTGATCAACCTCTCAGTTTACTAATTTTCTATTCAGCTTTGTCTAAACTGCACTTTATACATCCCTGAGCTTTTATGTAGTGACTTTTTCAATTCTAGACTGAACTTTGGGGTTAGTGACTATCATTTTCAATTTCTAGAAAGTTCTACTTGACTCTTTTTACATTTGCCTGTTCTCTTTCAAAATATCCTATTGTTTCTTTATGGTTTTTATTTCTTTTTTTAATCTTTTTAACCATTTCAAATATACTCTTTTTCAGATTATTGCATTATTTTATGTCATTGGAATGCTAAACTAGTTTGATATGTTTGCTGACTTTCCCTAGTGGCATATCATTTCCTCATGTGGTTTGTAATTTTTTTATTGTTAGGGCAACTTCAAAGGAGATTATATTTTGCTGTGGGAATGCTGTTGCTCTGGGCACATTCCTCCTGAATAGTTCTGCATTTCCTTCTCTTGATACCCCATGAGTTTTGCTGGTCTGGAATCTATTTTTACATTAATTTCTCAGCTTGGGAATTCCAACAGTGGAAATTCAGACACTATAGTCACATATGGTTCAGGCCTGGAGCTTCTATTTCACACAGATTTTTTTTTTTTTTCTACTCAGAGCCTCAGTAGGAACAAACTGAACTGTCCGACCCTAAGCCTGTAAGTGATATCTTTCTAGTCCTGGTTTCTCTGAGGGCATAGCCCTTATAGGGTCTCAGTGTTTGCAAAATTCTCAGTCTTAGCTGTCTGCTTCTTATGGGCTAGAGATCATGTTGCCTGCTCCCATGTTGGCATCCAAACCATTGTCCCTAGCACCTAGGGCGACATCCAATCTGATACCACATGGAACCATCACTTCCATGTGTTGGGCTTACACTCCAGCCTTCTGTTCTATATTTGCCTACTGGCCACTTTTTCATTGTGCTTCATACTATAGTTAATGAGTTTTTGCAAATATATCAAGTACTCCCTGAAAAGCCTATCTAATTCATTTTTCTTCCTCCTATAAGGCCTAATATTGTACTTTTTTAAAAATGGTACTGGGGATTGAGTGCTTTTACCACTGAGCTATATCTCTGACCATTTTATTTATTTATTTTTATTTTGATTTATTTGTTTATTTTTATGTGGTACTGAGGATTGAACCCAGTGCCTCACGCACTCCAAGCAAGCACTCTGCTGCTGAGCCCAGCCCCAGTTCCTATTTTTATTTTGAAACAGGGTCTTGCTAAGTTGCTTAGGACCTGGCTAAGTTGCTGGGGCTGGCCTTGAATTTACTCTCCTCATACCCCAGTCTCTGGAATCACAGGGATTACAGATGTGCACCACCATGCCCAGTGACACAGTACTGCATCATTGGTCTCTTTACTTAGCCACTCAAACACATACTACCCTTAGACTCCTGCATTTGATGCTTTCATATATGCAGAATGTCCAAAGCCAGGGGTCATGAGACATGAGAGGAGGGGAGGGAGAGGAGAATTGGCAGAAGTGAGAACATGTCCCAAGGAAGTTACTGCTTCTTTCCTAAAAATAGTGCAGGTCATACAGAATGATTTAGACCAAGAGCTGGACCTTCTTCTATTCTGATATCTGACATGAGCTTGGTGAACATGGAAAAGTCACTTCACCTTTTTCACGCATCAGATTTTGAACTTGTAAAATGCAGACAGGGTGCTAGCCTGGGAGACGCCCAAGATCCCCTCCAGGCCAAACAGCTCTTGGAGCTGCAAGTTAAGAACATTTTAACCTGGGTATATAACCAGTCAGACTGTCTCACTCGGGTGTTCGCTGTCTTCTCCCCACCCCAAATCACCCACTGGAGCTTCTAGCTCTCCCTGCTCTCTCCTTCCTCTAGCCCTAGGCCTCAGTTTCCAACCAGCCTCCTTCCCCTGCTCCCGGGGGTCTCCTCCCTGCTGAGCCTTCCAATGGTGAGATGATAAGCCTCCAGGGAGATCAGAAGGGAAAGCAGATGCCACAGAGACCCAGCACCTGGTGACACCGAAGCCCCATTTGCCTCCAGCTTTGGGGGTTCCCTGAGACTTGGACTGGAGACCTTGCATCTTGAGTCTCTTGAGCTGGTTCAGAAACAATGAATCAAAACCAGCTGGAAGCTGCCCTCCGACCCAGCTAATGACTTGTTTATTGTCAGAGCAGCAGTGCGTCATATAAGGGAATTTCAAAGTGTCACTAATTGGCAGAGGGCCAGTAAATAGCACCATATAAATCTGAAGGCGCTTCCACTAGGGCTGAGGACTGTGGAACAGATACAGATGGGGCAGAGGGAAGAGGAGATTGGCAGGGCGTGTGGTGGTGCAAAGTGTAGCACCTTATCAGTGGCTGCTGTCTCAGTCCAGGGTCTCCACTACCCAGTGGGGACTGGAGTCTGTTCTGTGATTGGGGAGGAAAGGCAGAGCACTATGATGGTCCTACTCTGGGCCTGCACAACACTCCCCCACCCCCAATCCCCACACCGCAAGATGCCTCACATCCTAATGTACTTTGAAAGAAGCAACCTATTATATTATATCATGGGAGAAGGTATCCTTGGAAAAAGGACTCAGAATATATTGTTTGAGTAGAATTACTGGATTCTGTAGACATAAAATCTAAGGTCCTTATATGGATTACCAGAAAATTCATACTCTAGTGGACATACTTCTAGGAACAGAGGTAGGAGGACCGGGAAAAAAGGAGCCCTTCTCATGTAACATAACCCATGAGCTTCTCCTGGGAACAGGACCAGAAGATGGGCCAGCAATAGGGATAATAAAGGAAATAAATGTTCATGGTTGCCCAACCCAACTCCTCTCGTCTATATTGCTGGCCTCCTCCCCAATAGTTTCAACAAACAGATACTTTGGAGATGAGAAAAGGGAGAATTAGTGAGAAAAGCATAAAGTAAAAAATAAAAGTGGAGGCTAAAGGGGAATCAGGAGGTTGGCATTTGAAGTAACATTAACCTGCTCAGAAATGGGTGCTCCCCAAAGGCCTCAAGACCACCCCTCTCACTCCACACTTCTAGGCGCTTCTTCCTGTATCTTTGCTGATAGGGGAGACACAGGAAGGCTTTGCCTTAAGGCACTGCTGGAGAAGGATGGCACCTCCACCAGAACCTATGATGCAGCAGAGAACTAGCACAACCTCCCTGACCTCTCACAGGTGGGTTCCGTTATCTCCATTTTACAGATTAAAAAAACAAAAACAAACAAACAAAAAACTGCTCAAAGAAGCAGATTTTCTTTTTTCTTTTCTTTTCTTTCTTTTTTTGTACTGGGATTGAACTCAGGACACTCGACCACTGAGCCACATCCCCAGCCCTGTTTTATATTTTATTTAGAGACAGGGTCTCACTGACTTGCTTAGTGCCTCACTTTTGCTGAGGTTGGCTTTGAACTCACAATCCTCCTGCCTCAGCCTTCTGAGCCGCTGGGATTAAAGAAGCAGATTTTAAAAAGCAGGACATATCAAGCCCTATCTAGGGAGTTCTGAGGCCTAAAATCCACAAACTCACTAATGCACTCACAAGTGTCATGGATACTTGGCTAAGGTGACGCAAATGAGCTATGGTCTCAATCCTCAAGAGGGAGAGATGGCATCCAAACAAATAAGGATGATGTAAAACATGATGGAGGAAAGACTTGGAATGGAAGGATGCCCAAAAAATATTTGAGAGGGTGGTGGTGTGAGTTCTAATCTGCTAGGAACAGGGAAGTTTTGATAGAAGGGTGGTATTATGGCTTGGATATGAGCTGTCCCCTCAAAGTGCCTATTAATACACAAGTGTTGGGAGGTGAGGTGACTGGATTGTGAGAGCTGCAATCTGATCCATCCATCCTAGTTTGAACTCTGGGTGGTAACTGTAGGCAGGTGGGGCATGAATGGAGGAGGTGGGTCATTGGGGTTGTACTCTAAAAGGGTTTATCTTCCCTGTGACCCCTTCCCCTGTCTCTGCTTCCCAGATGCCAATGAGGTGAGCAGCACTCTTCCACCTTGCCCTTCCGCTAAGATGTTCTACCTCACCTTGGACCCAGAGCAATGGACTCAGCTGACCATGGCCTAAACCTATAAAACCGTGAGCCAAAATAAACTTTTCTTCTCTAAGATGTCTTTTCAGGTCTTTTGGTCACAGTGATGCAAAGTAGACTAACACAGGTAGGATTTGGGCAAAGCCTTGAGGAAAAGGCAAACTTTTCACAGGAGAGAAAGACCTTCAAGAGAAAAGCATTCCCAGCCTGAGGGCTCCTTAGCTGAGGTGCCTCCAGAGCAGTAGCTGCACCTTCCTGTCTCACCCCACGGAGCCACACTTTCAACACACAGATGTTGAGGGCCTGTGTCCAGACCACCAAAGAGTAGCTGAGACAAGGCACTTGGGCAGAAAGCAACCATCTGCGGAAATTACTCCAAACAGATACACACCACCTCCCCCTGGCTGTGAGCCCTAGACCCCCACCTCTTCAGACATTTTTCTTCTCAAAAAAATCCCCTCACAATTAGCCCTTTGCCTGATTATGGAAGCAGAACCTCATAAGGTCTCTAGAATTTAAAAAGCCTGGGGACTTTCTTTCTCCTTATGTCTACTTTGTTATTTTTCTAACATTTAGATTTTTTATTTTATTATTTTTTTGGTTGTCAGATGATATTTTATTGAAATATTTTCCTCTGTACTTAAATGTCTGGGTATTGCAAGGCACCACTATTCATGTCATGAGGGTGGCAGTTATCAACATTGTAGCCCACAGACTAGACGGTAACCAGGATCTCTTTAATGGTTCCAGAAAGTTCTCTGGCTTAAGAGAGGTGCCACGTCTGTCAGCAATCTCATCAAAACTGATATTTCCATTGTGTTTAATGTGTTTTCTGTTTCTCTCTGTCTCTTAGTCATTTCTTGAGCACTTTGATGACCAGGGCAGAGGCTAAGGTACCACCTGGGCCTGTCTGTTTTGAATGGTCGATTTCATTGTCATCCCCAGATCCTTCTAGTCACCAGTTGCCTTGGTGATATCATCACCAACCTGTTTCGGAGACAGATCTAAGGGGTTGATCTTGGGAGTCAGGCAGATGTGACACCAACTTTGCCATTAGCACTTGAATACTGATTTTGATCTTGCTGGGGTCCATGTGGGTGAGATGGTAGAGGCACCTGGTGTCAAATGACCCTGGATTCCAGGTGACTGAAGAAAATTGCATGTTGGCCTCCTCTGAGCCAAAAGCCAAAAACTATTTTATTAATTTCTAAAGTTGGTTTTACATGATGTCAATATGAAAAAAGAGACAAAAGAACATATTATAAAAAGTAGTCTTCCAACCCCTGCGACTAGCCACTTAGTTCCTCTTCCTGTTCCTAATGTATCAGGACCTCGTGTATCTTTTTTGAGAGTTTTTACCTGAATGTGTTCTTTAAAAAGAAAACATCCTTCCCTGCTGAAACAAACTTTCTAGACTGTTTTGGAAATTCCCTGCTTGGAAGCAAAAAGAAAAAGTATGTAATTCCTGAATTGTGTAGAATTAGCAAAATTCTCCTCTAGACTGTATGTACAAATGCACAGTGTTTGTCCTCAGGATGATAAGAGCTAATGTTATGTGTGTGTGTGTGTGTGTGTGTGTGTGTGTGTTGTATACATTCACTCTTGTAATGCTCATGATACCCTATAGTCAGTAGTATCATCATGCCCATTTCTCAAATTGAGGCTCAGAGAGGTTCAGAAATGTTCCCCTGGATTTGAACTTGGACCTGTCTGACACATGCACCTCATTGACTCTTAACCACTATACACTGTGTTTAGAAAGAAGATGAGGAAAACTCTCTATATTTTGCAATCTGAAGTCTTCACAGGAGTGGGGGTCCTGCACAAAGAAGAGACTAAAATCTAGTCTCCCGTGAGGGTCAGGGAGATATCTTCCTGCAAAGAACATCCCAAGTTTTCTCATAAGATTTTTCTCACCCAGCTCATAGTGTGCACTGAATTTGAGGGCAGGAGAGAGGTGGACCAGGGAACTGAACCAGTGCACACCAAGAAATACCTCACTGTGGGGCAAACTGAGTTTCCAGGAGGGCAATGCCCTGAAGTAGAGATTCTCTGAGTAAAGAAGAGCAGAGCTGGCTTTCAGGGCGATTGTACTGAGAGATACACCTTTCCTAAGTCTGATCCACCAGTAGCTGCCTTTGTGGGAGCCCTTAATGGACCTATGCAGCCCCCACCCACCCACCCACAGCCATGTTGCACTAGTTTGGCCATGGGGGAGAAATGCCCTGGTCACTGTGAGGATGCAGGGCAATGTTTTCCAGCGGCATTAGAGGGCCTGTGTGCAGACAAACTTCTAAGGAGGAGCTTGGCCATCAAGCCAGACAGAGATGATTGCTCTAATAAGGACAAAGGTGGCTGGCCAGAGCCCTGCCTTGGCCCCAAGCTTTGGGTTAATGAGACTTCCCCTGGAGAAAGTGCCTCTTGGGAGAGTGGGGGTGGGGTGGCAGGGGGCGGCAGAACAGCTGGAGGCCAGCCATCACTGAGGCTGTTTATTAGGAGACAAAGAAAGAACTTTGCTCCCTGCACTGAGGTCAAACTCAAGGTATCCCAGGGAATGGCAGGGGAATTTATGAAGTGAGGAGGCAGCCGGTTGACAAGCTGTCATCTGGCCCCTCCCCAGCAACGCAGCCACAACCTCCCTCTCCTCAAGTCCTGGAGAGCAGTCACCTGGCTAGAGCAAGAGTCTGGCTACTGGAGGGGCTTCTGGGAAACAATACACATGCCACCACAACACAGGTGGTAGAACTGGTTAGGAAAGGGGAAGACAAACCTTCCACCCATTCCTAACTCATGTGCAGGTCAGACACATGCAGATTTGTCCAGGGCTGGCCCCTGGACCCAGGTAAGTGAACAGCCTCTGGAGCTGCTTGTGATGATCCCTGCTTCCAAGGACAGGCAGCCAGGTCCCAATTGTGTGACCATGAGGCAGAAACCAGGAGACACATGCCCCCTCCCATTCCTGCCCTCAAGCTCTTGGATGTATAAGGAAGGAAGGGATTTTCTGGGACTCTGAGCAGGAAGGAATTAAAGGCTATATTTTGGGACATGGAAGAAACAGATGAGGGGGGAATACATTATTTACATTCTTGAATGTAAATTCAGATACTTCAGGTATATAAGTGGCAGGATTTCCATGGAAATTAGGTTCTTTTTTTTTTTTTTTAAATGAAAGGAAGGTGTGTGAAACAGAAAGAATATGAGTGTGCAAATGTGTATGAGTGTGGTGAGTGTTTATGAATGAGAGTGTGGGTGAGTGTGTGTTTGGCTAGGCACAGGACAGCGACAAGAAATGCAGTCGTGCTTTGCCTTCATACCACATTTGGCCCCCATCCCTTCCCCACATGTGCACTCAATACCCTCACAGAGAACAGGAACTTTAGCCCTTTAGGAACATGGGAACAGAACTCAAGGTAGTCTCCTCTGGCTGAGTTCCCCAGAGTGAACCTTCCTCCCCTCCACATGGAACCTATTCTCCCTCCCTGCCCCCAGCTTCTCAGCAGGAGGACACCCACCTCCCATCCCCAACCCCTCCAAAGCTCTGGGAGCTCCCTCCGCCCTCCACCTGACCTCACTGTGCAAAGCCCAGCGGGTGGCTAAAGCTGCTGCCAAGTTCCATCCATCAGGCCCAGCACAGCCTTCTTCCCCCAGCAGGTCACACCACACTGGGCTAGTACTGTTAGGGGCCTCTCCTTTCCTGTGATGGCTACTGAGCAGGGAAAGTGAGGATTCCTCTGCTTCCCACCCTCCTCCTCCTAAGGCTAACACTCTCCCTCCCCCACCTGGTGACCTGCTGGGCTCTAGGAGACCAAAATTGTGGGTCAAAGATGAAAAATGCCAGCCTATTGACTAAGACACAGTAATAGGGCAGTTTGCATGTTATTTGCATAACCAGTTAATGCCGAAATGGAATGAGTGCCTTATCCTACTGCCGCGTTCCTCAGTGACCCTGATTCTGGACTTTTCTCCCCAGGTTTGCCACTTCTTTCCCAGATCCTGCAAAGTACTGGAGACCAGTCCAGGCCTGCAGATGGCCCCGCCACAGTTCAAGGAGATGTGTTTTCACAGTACCCTGAGATAAGCCAAATTCCAGTTTGCTGGCCTCTTCCCCTTTAGCCCCCCAGATCTGTGTTTGTGCAGAAGCCCAGAAGACAGGATCAAGGCCCAGGAGCCTACAGCTGGTGGTGTGTGGATTCCAGCAAGGGTGAGGAGAGGCGGCAGGGCAGGTCCAGAGAGTGGAGGGAAGTGAGGGGAGGCAGCATAATGCTTTGGGGCCCAGTGCTAACAGATCACATGTGATGTTTCTCCCCTCAATGTTCTTTGCTCAGTCGGAAGTTTCTGGGACTGTAATAAGCTTTAGTTTATACACAACCAGCTGCATTTTTCTACTACTGTTTGTGAGAAGGAAGCCAACCCAGCATCCTCCCTGCTCCCTTTGGCCTCAGCAGTGGCTTCAAGCTGGGATCCTGTGAGAGCCAGGAAGGCATAGTCCACAGGACAGATGAATCACAACCGGACCTTCACCCCCTGGTCTGGTCCTGATAGACCCTGACACCACCACCCATCCCCAACCCCTCCAAGGGTCTGACATTGATTCAGAAGGTTTCCACACAGCACGTTCTACACTTGCCAACACCCCTCATTGCACCCTACTATAAAATGCACAGATAGAGGGATACAGAGTTTGAGATGGAGACCAGGCAGTGCAGAGGGAACTAGGTATTTGTATTTGCATGTGACATCCTCTAGAGACTGGGTATGCATGACTCTTCCCATTCCACACTCAATACCATTCTCAAATCTCTGCTCCCAGGAAGCCTCTCCCAAGATGGCCAGGCTGAAAAAGAACAGGCCCCATCTGTGACTTGGGAAAGAGTGGCCTATGGACCCAGGGGGTTGGACAGAGAAGAGGGATCCAAACATAGTTCCTGAATCCAGACAGCTGTGAAAGAAACCTCACCAGACTATCTTGGATACAAAAGAAAGCAAAACTCTGGCCCTGTAACTGATATAGGATGGGCCAGACAATACCCTACTGTGTATTATACTAAGGGACCTTGTAACCCTAGAGTACCTGGCACCCAATCACTCTGCTGCTACCAGGTCACAAAGGCAGTGCACAGAGGAGAAAGGTGTCTCTTAGCTAAAGCAGGGCCATACTTGCCTTCTCTGGTCTAGGCCAGAGGAGATGACCCTAACTCTCCCACCTCCTTCAATTCTAATTAAGCCCTTTTGGAGATGCAGCAGGGTAAGAATCTAGCCAAGCTGAAAACATTCCCCTCAAGGCTGACTGGCCTAGTGGTAAGCTCTGGGATCCTTGGAGGCAGAAATACAAGTCCCTATCTGAGTGTACAAGTCACACAACATTTCTGTGATTCAGTTTCTTCCTTATAATCAGGACAAAGAACTCAATTCCTTAAGTGTGTTAACCCACATAACAGTTGGAGTGGACCTGGCTCAATAACAGCAGCTGCTAAGCTCTCAAAGGCTATGAGGGCGTGAGAGGTAGTTGGAGAAGAAGAATGGAGGCTGGAGGCTTCCCTGTGGACATTGCCCCCACCCCTCATTGCCTTAATTCTGCTGCCCAGCTCCTACTGGAGGCAATAAACCTGGTTTGAAACCCAGTTCTGCCTGAGGCTGGCTGATTGGGCAGCCTTGAACAAGTGACTCACCTAATTGTCCTGAGCTGTAGCCCTTGTCCCACCTGGCCCGACCCTGTATATGAGCACACCTGACAGCCAACAGACCCTGAGGGGAATGGGGGTACCCTTCCTTGTTCTGTGTGAGTCAGGACAATGCAGGCAGACAGGGGTCTCCCTGGATTCTGATCAGAGAGAAAGCAATGATGTCCATGAGGCCTCAGGGTGATAGGGAAACAGAGGATACCAGGAGTGTTGTAGCTTTCACTCTGGGAGAAAGTTGGAAACTTGGTGATCTCCCTGCTCACTGGCAGACTCTTCTGAGGCTGGGCTAGGCTCCTACCTTGAAGAAGGTGGTGTTGCAGAGTGGCTCACTGGAATGGCATGTGATACCCTCCAGGGAGAGAAAGATGAATAGCACTTTCAGGCTTTAATAAATCACACACACACACACACACATGGCCAGCCCAGCCACCTAGAGACAGGTGGACTTGGCAATCATTTGATGCCCTAAATGACAGCATCTCCCACATACCCAGGGGCACATAGTTGGCCAAAGTTCTTCCAAGAAGGCTCTCATGAAAAGGAACCCATGCCTGAGCAGCACACATACACACACCTGCATGCCCATGCCTACTATTGGGTGTGGCTGCAGACTGATATCTGTCCCTGAGATCTAGGTGGGGCCCCTGGATGCAGAATGCCCAGTAGATTGCCACTGGGACAGGCCCAGAAGCTTATCTGCCCTAAGCCCTTCTCTGCAGGGAGAGTAGAAGGAGGGAGGAGGAGCCTGAGTGAGAAAACAAACTTCAGACTCATTATCCTGCCAGGCCCCAATCTCTGCTCCCAGCACAATTAAAGGTCTCTAATCCAGAGTGAAAAGCAAACACAAGATCCCCTCTTGTCCCCCTGCTTCCTCTAATCAGGGATTTGGGCCCTGGCTCCTGTTTTCAATACAAATATTCAATTAAACTTTCCTGGAGTTTTCAGTAATTGGGTCCCAAAGAGGTGGGCAGTCCTGCAGATAACATGCGACAGACCCCAGGGCAGTCCCAAGAAATGCAGACATACCTGGGGACAGAGCAGCAGGCAAACAGGGAGAAAGAACAGAAAAAGAGAGGTACCCAGATTGCCTCTGATAATCAGAAAACACTTCCAGAGAGTTCTATGCCCACCAACTCTGGCTTCCTCTGAGCTGGCCTAAGAGAGGAAGTGAATCTTCAAAACAGATTGTGGACCTGCTGAGACCTACTTGTCTTGGTCACAGCAGCCTCTTCTAGTCTTAGCTCTAATCCCATCAATTCTGAGTCCAGAGGGGCCAGCATCATCTCCCAGGCCTGGGTGTGTTTAAATCAAAACATTCCAATCAGTTCCACCACCAAATCCTTTCAGATTCTTCCACCTTCAGTAGAAATTGCTGCTAGAAATAGTCATTCCTTTTCCTGCAGTTGAATGGCTTCAAAAGCAGAAGTTTCTCCAATTCCAATGGAAAGCCTAAGAAAAGAAAAGTCTGGTCCATGTTCCCCTGCATTTTAGGGCCTGAGCATGCCCAGAACAGGGTGTCTGGGGTCTCCAGGTTATTTCCTGCTGGTTGCCTCCAGTTGAGGTCAGAGAGCAGAGCCTTCAAGGGCTCAGCCCCAGTTCCAAAACTGAGCTGCTGTATCACAAGGGAAAGAAACTTTGCTCCTCTTCCAACTTCCAGAGATCACTTTCCTCCATCAAAAATTTCTCTTACAAATCCTTAGATACTTAGAGACCCAAGACACCAGGATCCAAGTAGCGGATCCTGGTGGCACAGAGCAATTTTTAAAATAAAGAAGTCGAGTCATAAGCAGTTAGAAGCCAGGATGGGGGTGGGGACTAAAGAAGAAGGCCAGCTGGCCCTTCTAATTACAAACCCTAAAGCTCTCTTGACAGATCTGCCAGTGTGGGATTGACTCCTTTAGCCCATGTAGACTGCACCTGGAGGTCTCTGCTCATGACCTCTAGACAAAGGACAAGTTTGATTAGGAAAGGAAGACATGAGAGGAAAGGCTAGGAGTGGTCTTGTCAGAGCAGGAGGGAGACAGACTCCTAGACAGCTGGCCGGGGTTGGTGGGGGATCTGCACCCCAGGATTGAGCACCAGAAGGAACAGAGGGAACCTCAATGTTGTGGCCTCCCTATAAGGAAAGATAACTGTAGGGAGATTTCAACTGAACATTTCCTGGTTTTCCTCCTCTGCTAACCCCTGTGAGTTCCACTGGTGATTGTCTGGGATCTCTCCAGAACCTAGTCTATCACACTTTCCCCAAATGCTGGGTCAGCTGCCTCAAGTTTAAGAAGGACTGAGGGCAACATTTTAGCCCAAAGATGCTCATCCTAGTGACCAGAGCAGGCAGGAGGCTCAGGCCAGGTGGGGCATAGTCTGCCCCAGCAGAGCCAGAAGGCAGTGTGTGAAGCCTGCAGGGAGAGCAGTTTGGGAGACACTTCTCATGGCATGGAGCCCAGGAGGCAAAGGCTGAGCCAGGAGCTTCCAAGGGAGTCTGGCTATGGGATTTACGAGTCTCTTGTTCCCATTAAAAAAAAAAGGCTCTAAGGCCTCAAGTGCTCTGGAGAGGCTCGCTCTGTGGAGCCAAGACACCAGGCGGGAGGGAAGCTGGCTCCCCTGAGAGGCACTGTCCTTTCTCCTCTGTGGCAAGAGTCAGAGCTCCCCCGACACCTTGTGGCAATCCAGGGCTTAGAACATCTCTTAATTTAGGACAAAGGGCAAGCAGAAGAGAGAAAGAGAATCATGTTTTCTTGGCCCTGAGCCCTGGATGGAGCCTCAAGTCATAGAAAAGTGGCAGTGAAGGTCACAAGTGCCATGGTTCTCGTGCTACGAACTGGGGGCTGGAAAACTAACTGGTCACTAGATGGCGTCTTAATTTCTTCCCAGGATCCCTTCTCACCATTATTCTAGAAGTTTCTCCAAGTTTGCTAGCAATTTCTCTTCTTCTGCTAGTTCTCTTATTCTGCTAGGTTTGGGGCAATATGTAAACCTTTGGGTTAGATCCCACATAAATCCAGATTTTAGATGTCAGACAGAGGGGTCACTGAACTCTGTGGCATCCAGCCATGTGCAGATAGACACTGTTTGCTGCTGTTGCTGATGTATTTATCTGGCATTTGTTGGAGAAGTCTTTGGCTATGGATTCTACTTAGGGACAGTCCCAGGATGACTGGAACCATAAGAGGAGAGATGAAAGAAACTCTAATGATCTATTCCATTTGGAACAAGCTACGTTAGTGGAGAATAAAGTGATGCTTTGAGGCTCTAGACTAAAAGTGAGACAAAGATACCGGAATCCACTACTGGGAGCAGGAAGAGAAGCAAGAAAGAGAGAAATAGTGACATTGAGGGTGGGGGCTTAATAATTTCCCAGCCATGGTCTTACTGGATAAGATACAAATCTACCAAAAGGAGCTATTGCTGGAGATTGTTTTCAGTGGAATACAAATGCCCTGGACAGGTTTGATATCCATCTTCTCATCAATAGGCATGACCAACTGCAAGACATTCACAGGAGCCTTTTCCTCTGTGGCAGAGGAAAAATTTGCAAGAAGAGATATATAGACCCAAACTCCATTGGGAATGGAGGGACACCTCCCCACGTTTGCATGTGTCATTCCATCCACCTGAAATGCCCTCCCATCCTGATACACATGCTCTTTCCCTCCTACTCCCCATTGAATCAGGTGGTTCTTCTCTATGTTCACAGGGTCCTTGTGACAATTGAGTTCACTCATGCAAAATCCTTAGATTCTTGGACACAGAACTCAGTGAGGCTTTGTTGTTTTATTCTACCATGGCACACTTCCACTAGACCATATGTGTTGGTGGCCGTGTGTTTGCCCATCACATCCACCTGACTGAGTTCTTGACTAGCAAGAACCATTCATGGAATGCTTTTGTATCCTTATAATCTGAAATATGGTTAGTGGAACATGAGATAGTTCAGAACCTGGTACATAACTGATGGCTAAATGTTGAATAAACAAGAAACGAATGCCTATGCACTTTTGAGATGTGTTATGAGCAAAACATGTGCCCGCCACCAGTGGTGGTCATGTTCCCTTGGACATGTGTTTCTTCACCCCTCACCACTAGTCCAGGTCTCGGCCAGCAGCCTGTGGTCCAGTCTCTTTGGAGGGAGTTCATTGTGCTCTGCTCTGACACAGCCAATATCAACAGCGATGTGGAGATGGAAAACAGACCAGAACCAACGAAAGTTGTTCCTTCTCCAGCTGAGACGCCAACCGTTTTCAATCTGCTAATGAGACCCAGCTAGGAGTAATCAGGAAGTGTCTAAAATTAGCTATTTTAATTTAAGTAAAAGAGAAAGGGGCTGACTCAGAAGGGGACACAGACTCCAGTGGAGCAAGTAGGGTCCTGGATGCCTCCAGAAAACCCAGAGAATCATCTGGTTGCCCAACACCCAAGAGAACACCCAGGGTGGATCCAGGGTCCCTGTGATCAAACACCTGGTCACAAATTAAAACAATCATTGGCCATTTGTCCCAGAACCCATTGTGTTTCAAATTAGAGAGCAGAGGCCATGGGCTGCCACCTGGAAAACATTAGCTGGAGTTTGATTATGAGAGTCCTTTCTCCTACCCAATTTACTACTTTCTAACTTCATTCCCCACCCCAGAAAAGTTAGGCCTGTACTAGGTGCTTTGCTGCTACTGACAAAGGTTTTCTGACCATCCCACAGGGATCCCTATATCCTTTGAATCTCTAAAAGAAATTGATTGTCTTTGCCATTCATGTATTACTCATGTATTAATTCATATGTTTATTGAGCACCTGTTATAAGATATATACTAAGATAGGGATCAGGGATTCACACAAAGAGGGAAGAGATACAGTGCTGCTTTATGAAGCTCAGTCTGTTGCTGAGACAGAGAAATCAACAAATGCAAGATCATGAAAACCAACAACTGAAAGACCATGTGAAAATTGCTCTCTGGGAGGCAATATATATATCAGGAACAAAGGAATCACAGGCAGAGAAAAATAAAAAATGATTTTATTTGACACTTAGTATATATGGCCTTGTGTTACTAGTTTTCTTTTTTATTTCCTTTCTCCCATATGTGAACAACTCGTGACCAAAGACTGTGTCTTCTAATTCTTTATGTTCAAACCTGCTAAGATACTTTCACATACTAGGAGTCCAATAAATGATTTTCATTGGCTATTCCCTAAGAATGTGGGGATCATTGATTACAGCAAATGGTGACTTTTCCTTTCCTTTGAGACTACAAAAATAAGCAGAAACTGGAGAAGAAAAGAATTGAACCAACCAGGGTGACTTGGTGAGGTTGTAGGGTATGCTTTAAAATATGTCAAATACAGGAAAGTCTCTTCTGTGTCTAAGATGGTTTAGACCTGGTGTTTCCTAAGAATAAGAGAATGTAGTCAATGAACTTCCAAGGTACCAAAGGTTCTCCTGTGTTCCTTCCCAGCAGAAGGCAAAAGACCAAGTGCTACGAGGAGGGGAATTTGTGATTGAAGAAGAACGATACCAAGGATAAGATTCAAGTCCTTCACTTGGCTTCAGAAGCTCTTCTCAGCTGATCCCAGCCCCTCTTTCCCAACCACCTTCCTGGGCATGTCTCTCTTACTACCATCCTGAACTTCCTACCATTCATATTCAGCAGGTCCGTCACACATTCTTAGGACATCCTCCTCCATCATCTGAAAACTTCTGCTTATCCCCTAAGATTCAACTCACATGCCACCTCCTCAAAGAAGCATTTCTTGCGTTCCCTAGCTGAATCCATCCATTTTCTCAGCAACTCTACCATTTCATTTGCATTCATCTTATGACACTTACCAAGTTGTGTTGCAAACATATGTGTTGCACTGTTTGGGTTACAAGGACAGAAGTGATTAGGACTTCAAAGCCTGGAAAATCTTCAGGGCCCTGCTGAGCTCACCTATTCAGTATAGCAGTCACTTCCTAATGACCAGAGGTCACTGGATGCCTCCTCTGGGATTCTCCATTAACACCACTCACGATTCCCTCCTGCACCCTCAGTACCTCCCTTTCTCTCCCCACCATGTAATCAATCACACCAAATTCTATAAATTGAAATCTCTAAAACTTTTCCCAGCTCTGACTGCCACCACTCTAGTTTCCTTGGCTCTTAATTCCATGATCATATTAGAGTCACATGGAAAACTTTTTTTTTAATATTTATTTTTTAGTTTTAGGTGGACACACAATATCTTTATTTCATTTTTATGTGGTGCTGAGGATTGAATCCAGTGCCTCACATGTACTAGGCAAGCACTCTACCGCTGAGCCACAACCCCAGCCCTCATGTGGAGAACTTTTAAAACCATCCAATGGTTTCCTTCTGGTCTCAGGATAGGACCATCTCCTTACCCTGGTGCCCAGACCCTGGCAGTCTGGTCCTCACCCCTCTCCGGCCTCACCCTGGGCCCCTTTCCTGTTCTCCACCACACTTACCCTGTGCCCTATGCTATGGTTTGGATATGGTTTGAGTTTGTCCCTAAAGGTTCATAGAAGTTTGGTTCCCAATGTGGTGATGAGAGGTGGTAGAACTTAAAGTTTGGGGCCCAGCTGGGCACGGTGCATGCCTCCAATCCTAGCGACTCGGAAGGCTGAGGAAGGAGGATTACAAGTTCAAAGCCATCCTCAGCAACTTATTGAGGCCCTA